TAATGCCTAAGGCCATGCACCTCAAGACTTCAATCATCACTTCTTCACATCCAACCTGCTGCGTACAAGTACATAATATTGTGCATGTGGGCGGTATTAATATGCAACCAGACTTCAGTCATAGCACACCCTTTACCAGAGGTACATGTCTTGCCAAAGAGGAGTGGGAGTGATGCGGTGACAGCCCAAGCTTGGCGGCAGGATGGTTGGGAAAATGCCAGAAGAAGGAAATGTCAAAAAAACAGTACACCATGAGTGGTGCTGCCAGATTCAGCCTGATTTCAGGGAGAAAAGCTTTGGTTTGCCTTTTCACCAACTCCGTCCGTTGGTGGCTCTGTGACATCCCCCATGGAGAAAATAAGAACCCTGCACAGTTGGTCTGTTCTACATACATGTACATGAACGCCTAGAAATGACCTTGATTCAACTTGGGTCATAATCCTCCATCACCATAACCACTCATCGCTCATCTACAGTATGTACTCATCAAATCACCTGCCAGCATTTTTTTTTTCAACAGAAAGTATTTTAGGCCACGCACACGAAGTATGGTATCTTCATTGAAATCCCTTCACTCAAGGTCTGGGCAGCAATCAATTCATGGCACAGTACAACTCGCCGACTAGTACATTCGCGTGTAGTCCTGTTCACTCATGGCATGGCTTTCAGTAAGGGCTCACCTGTATCGCTTCTCAAATCGGCACAGTGGCCTTGGAAAGTCATAATTATGCATCTGCATGTATAATTTGAGTGCTGGGGAGGTGGGTGAACGGGTACAGGCTGAGTGGAATAGCAACGTAAGAAGTGGCAACTTGCAAATTTGTGACCTGTCATGACAAAATGAGAGTAAAGTCGCACACACTCTTTCCTGTTTTGTCGGTTCAAAGCCATATTGAAGTGGAGGTCAATTTTGGGGTTTTGTAATAGTTGGAAAGAGTGACCCCTCTCCTATTTAATTCCAAATATTTTGCAGAATCACATTTGTTTAAATGTCATTTTCTTAGCAATTTTGACGATGGCATTATTCATGCCCGGTCTGAAATGTTGAAACAATGTCGAGAACCTTGACGCAAAGCTGCCAGCATAATGTCTCATTGTCACGTTATACTTTTACCCAGTGTTCCATGTACACGCCATTGGAGAGCTCTTTTTCTGCTGAATGAAAAAATACCAACATCTCAGTTTTTGAAAATTCCAACTTGCAGCTCATTTTGTGGTGACAGGTCACATTTGTCTTTATTCACAGCATCTAAATAGATTAAGTATAAAAGTATTTACACATACGACAGCTGTGATTTGGGGGGAACTAAAGGATGGATATATCTGTCCGTGTACTGTACCGGTATATGTACAATGAAGTCATCAGTAACTTGCTTGAGCAGCCCGTTATTTCCTGCATCGAGGAAAATTTTTTAGCTGGAACGGCATGTCAACTCATATAACTTTTGCAACATGGACAAGGTTTCCAGTTAAAAGCATGTAACCATGGAAACTCAGTTTTTTAGATGCTGGCTAAAATGTTGTTCAAGGTATGACGTACACATGTGTACACAAATGGCCGTGTTACTGTACATGTACATTCCTTGCACGTACATTAAAGTAGCAATTTCTGGCAAACGGTGCAATTTATCGCACCATGCCTCATTTGCTGGTGTCATTTTGTTGCTATCGGGCACTTCACCAGAGACTTGCTCTTCCACGAAAATCACCTCACTTGAGTTTTTTAATTTCACATTGTCAACAGCATTCCTGAACAGCGGGTGCCACAGAATCAGTTCCCCTCCAATCTTGACGCTGTTTGAATTTGGCTAATCATGCCCGTGATCTGTCGTCCCGCCGATTTTTCAAAGTTAACTTCTTCCTGACGGCGGGGCAGTCTACTTCCCAGAAGGCCATTAATCTTTGTAGCCCCAAATCATGGTAAAGAGTGATAGCACTGGGGTCAGTGGCCAGCTCTTCCTTGTAATGGAACCGACTGCTTTATTTTTCCACGAGACGCACCATTCATTACTCTCGACGCGGTTTGTTGTTTTGGGGCGAATTCTCGGCGGGTTTCTCGCATAGCCCCATCTGATTAATTGAGCCGGTTCCCCATTCGGTCAGGGGAAGGGGGCGGGAGAACCTTTACCACATTTCAGAATTGTCACTTCCTGGTATGACTACCCAAACCTCTGCAGTGGTTGAACTAGAAGTTAAGTGGTTTGAAGTCACAGCACCGGTACCTGTGTGAAATGTACATGTAAATTGTCTAGAATACCAGCTACACGTACTCGCTTCCACCTATTTCTCTGTCACATAGATGTACAAGGTACCAAATACAATCTAAACAAGGTTTGTTTGTCAGGTCTTGTCATCAAATTAACCATTCAACAGTTCAAAAAACCTGACATATATAGCTCACGTATCAACAAATGATTGTGAAGGTTGAAAGTATTCATTTGAGATCGAATGTACAATGTTCATGCTTACTAATAATGTTTAAATTTTGTATTCTTGACATTCCGGAAAGCATGCTGAACATAATCAGATCCATACATGTAAATTCAACATCACCTGAGTGCTTTTTATTGTTATTTTTTTCATTCCATCAATTGCATGATTTTGTCACTGAAGCTGGAGGATGATGTGATGTTTCGATTTTGTATCAAGAAATTTAGAGGATAGAGAGGGAGGTTTTTAGTACTTACAAAATTAAAGGTACATGTTTTTTTTTATTCATATGCAAATTTCTGTTCATTGATAGCAATGACGTAGTGCATCCAAATACAGTATGTGTGTTTTGTATCTAGTTGGTTTATTTTGACTAGCCAGGTTTATTTTTACTCGTAGTCTTTATGTACAATTGTATTGTCTGTTTCTACTCCTTTGCCAATTTTTTTGAGGTGGAATTTGTACAGTTCACCTCGTGGAATTTTTAGCCTTGATAGAGATGAATGCGTTACAATTTGTCACCAGTAAGAAATATTCTAGTCTTGTCTTAATACTTAATGTCTATCGACTCCTCCCCCTTTTGGAAAAGGAAGGATTAATCAGAACTTGATACGATGAACAGATTTGAAATAGTTGCGGGTCAACGATTTATTAATTTGCTTGGTTAGGGCCAATAATAGAGTCGCTGCTCATCAGCATTATAAACACCCCGAATGTAAACACGAAATAGCTAGCATCACTGGGATGTCTGGGTGTTTTCCGAGAGCAGACGGATTGATGATTTATTGACGTTGGTGATCCGCATCTACATGTATGAGTTGGTGATCATAGTCTCAAATTGACTGGTCCCCCACAGATATTTGCATTGACAATCAGTGGTTTGCTTTTACACATGTTTGGGGATTTTTGTGGGCACATGTGGGTACAGGATTGAGGGCTTTACAATTGAAGTCTGAAAATGCTTTAGGTTCCAACTTCAGAAAGAGCAATAAACTCCTCCAAGATTTGTTTTCATCTGATGCTACTTTTCTCGGTCGCCAACCTTGTATCAAATTACATATGTACAACTCTCAGTTTGAAAGTTTGTGTTGTATGATATTGTTTATTCATTCATGTATTTTTTGGGTTGATCTAAGCATGCCTTACCATTAATTTTAAAACTGACCCTTGTTAAAAAACGACCAGAAAATTTCATTGCTAATCCTATTAATGTACATGAAATACATGTAGGTAATGAGTCCCACAACCTTCTGTTCCAACAAGAATAGAACTTTAAAATCAGTGACTTCCAGAAACCAATGGCGTGTGGTCTGACGCTTCTTTTAGTTACAGAAGTTGTTAACTATATCCTTCTTGTCCAAAGGTTCAGGTACTTCAGTGGTTTCGCATTCCTCAAAATACAGCCTACATGAAGTCTGTCATAACCTTGTTCGTGTATGTGTTCTTGTTTTCTGTATAGAAAAAAAATAGATGTTTGTTCCAGAAATTAGGAGTCCAAAAGTGTTACATTTTTGTGTCCCTGTTACATCTGACCTTTGTTGTTTGACATGGAATTATCACCGGAATTGTTTTCAAACTACCGGTATTACTATGTCTAGCAGGTAATTTGCATTGATTCCTCGCTCGAAAATTAGAAAATGTGTTCTGAACTTACAAAATCATAAGTTAGATGTGACAGGGACACACAAAAAATGGACCCCTAATTTCTGGAATTACCCATGCAGGATTTAATTCCATCGTTTACTCTGCTCTCGTGCACTGATGTGAGTTTGTGGTTACCATCAGTGAATGGCATTTGTCCCCTTACAGAAAGTCGTGACCCAACGACAAGTTTCGCTTTCTTTCCTTGATGAGTATACATGTAGTATGAATGTGGTGATTTTAAAAAGGCAAAGAAGCAAAGAACATACACGTGTACGTGTACTCTCAAGCACTGCACTTGTGTGGACATACACTCGACCTACATGTATTTTGTGGGGACCAGAAATGTTGTGGGGACTCAAGAAATGTCCCCACAACTCGGTTCAAATTTGCCTAACAAAAGAATTTGTCCCCTGAACCCTGTGAATGCCTACACATATGTACATTTAAGTATCGGATTTAGAAGCCGTAACCATGTTAACTACATGTATTGCATCATGATCCCATGTGCATTATATTTTCTTTGACCAGTAAGGTTTTGTGCCGTGCCAAAATGCACATGCTCAAAATTAGGGACTCCCGGGCGTGTGATGTTCCCAGATGAATGACATCTATTTGGATTAGTTCGTACTCTGAGATATTGTATTCTCAATACCATACAGCAAGCAAGAAAATAGCTTTTTTCAAAAGATGAATCACAACCCTTTTTTCAGTAGCACAGGTCTGAGTACCATACCTGGTACTCAGAAAAAAGGTTGAAGATTTGCTGTTGGGGGAAATTTGAAAAAAAAAATTTGTGGAAATGAGAAACAACTTTACCTGTATACCGTATGGCCAACACTCAAGCTTGCCCCTTCACATCATGTGTACATTTTACCACAATTAATTATATGTAATTTCTACTGAGATACTTTTCTGTCCTCTTTAAGATTCATGCAGCTGACGTGGATGTTGTCGGATTTCAGGAGGTGCGTGCCGACAGAGATGAGCAGCGAACCCAGCTGTCAGAGCTGAAGGCGTTGCTTCCATTGTACAAGTGGCACGTCTACCTGCCAGTGCAGAAGGTCATTCCATTCAAAGGAGCTCCTGCAGGATGGGAACTGGAAGGTGTGTATTTGGGTTGGCCAATTCGACCCATCCCTTGCCATGTCACGTAGGCAGTTTGTGCCAACCAGAACAAGAGACAGGCAAAAGTATGGCCTGCCATCTGTTCAAAATTCCCAAAGAAATAAAAGATTTCTCACAGCTATTGGAACACTCAGTGATGAATGCTATTACTGGTACTTTATACTAACGAAATTAACTTCCCCGTCAATTAAAGTGGGACATATGTGTACTTTTATAAATAAGCCCTTACCAGCCAAGTCTGAGCCAAACTGTGTCAGTCCATACCTAATTGTAGGCAGTGTTTAGAATTGAAATATAAAGGGTCATTATTAACCGAGTGCCCATACTTGAGTTCCACGGGTGCTGCGCAGTGTAGTCTATTTTATCTGAGGAGACGCCATTGCCGGGGTGCAACCCCACTTATGTGCTTGTCACATTCATTGTTTTGTTTATCTTGGAAGTGCTCGTTCATGCACATCATGTAAATGTTTAAGTTGGCAAGTTGTAAACACTCTGTTGGTTGAAGAGGCATTCAGCGAGTGTACAGCCTACATGCAAGTGGGGTGCCGCTGTAGTGGCAGGTTTTTTGAATTCCGGTCTTGGATCATTCAGGGTTTTTTTTTTTATTTTTTGCTCGGAAGAAGGAAAATTCCAAGTATGGGCTCCTAATGTACTTGTTCATATTCCATGCCATGTGCATATGAACTTTCCCACACATGAAAATGTGTCTGCCTCACTGGGCCAATTTAAAGGGTGCTCTGTTCTTAAATCACGAGGTCCACACTGATGTGTAGTGTCATAAGGTAACTACATGTACTTGTACATCAGCCAATGGTCCACCACCCCTACCAAATTGTATGCAACATCATTTAACTGCATTGTTATTGCAGAAGCAACTTTCATTTGTCACTAGCAAAAGATATATATTACATGTATGTCCTTCTCTGTTCTGAGGCCAGTAAGCACAGAGAAGGGTTGCTTTGCAACAAAGATGTCTGGTACCGGCGACTGATTCCTATGTGGCTTTTGCATAGCAAGAAAGATTTGCTAAGCATTGCCCTCTGACAAGCAGCTCCATGAAATTTGTCATGGTTGGATAGATATATCCAGCAACATTTCACTGGGCATTCCCAATGGTCCCCTTTAACCCTACGAGTCCCAAATCTTCCAATTTCAATACGATTTTACACACACCCTCGGGGGGCTGGGGTTAATGGCGGAAAGCTCTGCTTTGCATTTTTACAGAGCAGCTGTCATTAAATGGTAGTTCCAATGCCAACTGCCATTGTTGGGGGCCACTTCTAATGGCCTGTGATAGCATTACCATATGGGCACCAGAGTTGCCTGTAATTCATCAGCGTACTTGCTTTTCTTCCTTGCATCTTGAAGGTCTGGGTATCCTGAGCCGTCACCCCATCACTGCCACCAACCCACAACCTCTCACGCACCAATCGCCCAAGGACAAGAACCAGCGCACCGTCCTGCACGCCTCGCTGCACCTCCACTCCGGCCTGAACGTGAGCCTCGCCGTGGCCCACCTGTCATACGACCGCTGGCAGCAGTGTGTCAACGTGGCTGAAATCATGAAACATGTACGGGGTAAGAGCATTCGTGTGACTCAAATGTCTTCATAATTGAGCACAGATCTGCACCATGAAAATGAGATGTGCCCTCCGGCCCTTTTTTGCTGGCTGGCTGCGATGGCATTAGGGATGCAGTTGAGTCTCTAACAAGTCCTCACAGGTTCCCACATGTCCATCACTAGTCATCCAGTGTCTGACCAAGCCACAGGCTATTAGATTGAACTTGTTTCAAGAGTCCTGTGTCGTTCATCCTGTTACTTGTGACTGGACTTGTGCTAGGATGTCCAGCAGATTTGTGAAAGACTCAACTACGATCCCGCAGTCGTGCAGAAATAAACTCACATTTCTCGCTAGAGGATGGCACCACAGCAGTCAAAACAGTGTGAATTCACATAAATGTGGGGTTCACATGATCACAAACGTGTACTCGCACCACTGAAGCTTTTACTAGTATGGTCCATCCTTTATTAATATTGCTGAAACGGTTTGGCATTCAGTTTGATGAATCAGTTTGAAGGCAAGGCGATGCAGGAACACAGCGCCTGATGTTATACCGGCTCAAACCATGTTCAGTGCGTGTGAGTGGGCGTGGGGTCAGCCTGGCTGATACCGCCAACCTCTCGTTCCTATTAATGACCCCCAATGATTTATATTGTGGCTCATTTTGAGCATGCACTGTTTGAACACCCAGCTTGCTCCCTGTAGGTACCCTAACTTTGTCGAGATCCGACATATGATTATGCGGTTATTTTGATGGTTGTATGCAGCACTGCGCAGCCGTGCTCCTTGTGTCAGAATGTGCATTCGACGTGCCACCGATTCACGGCACTGTCATAGTCAGATTGCAACGATTTAGGACAGTAAGCGCCCAGCCTCTGTTACTGCACTGTCGCTCTTTCATTGATATGCATGTATATGACAGTGTTGGAGGACTTATGGGTAAAATGCCCTGGTGGTTTGGGTTGAGGGTTAAGTCACCGAACTTGTAACTCTTTATCGCTCTCCGGTTTGTATGCGCCGGAGATGTTAGTTTGTGTAGGCCATCAGCAATGACAGTACGTCACGCCGATCGAAATCATGAAAGAATTATATGTTTGGTGTTATGTTTATAGGGGCAGTCGATCTTCATGTGTATTTTTGGAGTCTGTGGGCGTCACACCTCATTGATTCCGCCCTCGCCAAGTCAGTGAACCCAAATGTCGCCATCGATCATCCTGCTTTCTCTCCAGAAAAAAAAGTCAGCCTCAATTACCAATTTGCCCGTCTTGCCCTCCGTCAACCTTTCTCCATTCTCCTGCCAAAGTTTGTAACAGAATCTCATCAATGGCCCAAAGGTCCATTGGGATCTGGGCAAGTGCCAGTATATGCTACATGTACATGTACTTTGACTAGAAGCGTTGACTAACCGTGGCTATGTGCGTGCAGTAGAAACATTGAACTGCTCACATTGAAATGCCAGTTGGGGCTGGCCACTCTTGATCTCATTTCTTTTTCCAGTCACATAGAGGCAATAACCACCATATTACCAATTGCCAGTACAAAAGTTTTTTATTGGGAGTTTAGATCTTTTACCATAATTGAGCAAAATCAGCAAGTTATCAAAATCTATAAACTTAGAAGGTCTGTCATTTCAGTCCCAACAGTCCTCAAGGTCAAAGCATCCTTGGATTTGCTTTATTCACTATAATTGACAGTAACAAGCAGTTTGAAGCAGTTTCTGTGGTTTACATACATTTCCGAAACAAAATCCAACTTGGTATCTTGGCTTTAGCCTTTACCTCCCATTATATTACCAAAAGGAGCAACCAAATTTTGTGGGGTTTTTGTTTGTTTGGTTGGTTTTGTTTTTTTCACGACTACAAAGTACTTGTACATGTATATGTACATGGACAAGATTCCGCCATGTATCATCAAACACAAGATAATTGATCAATTGATCTGGTTGGACACAATAGGTAAATGTACATGTACGGTGTATGTACATGTACATTTCAAGAATCTCCCTACATATGGATACTTTCTCAGCATGACAGATGAAGGACTTGACACTTGCCATGCTGCCCCACATTCAGCATGTGGTTTGCACATTAAGAACTAGTAGAATTCAAGGACCTGATTTGGTTAACTTTTATAAAATGAAGACCTGTTTGACATACATGTATAAAAGAGAAATGACACATGTACATGTACCAGTATTTACGTCATGCAAGCTGTGCAAACCTTGTGAGGACTGAGCCAGGTCCACACAAGGCTACCCCCTCTTTGGAGAACAATATTTTCACCAGGTTTTCTTTCCCAGATAAAAAGAAGCAAATGTCCTCACTAGGTAGAATGTAGGTAACATAAAATCAAACTTGAAAACTTTTTTGTTCAAGTGTTTTATTTTGGTAGTTCACAAGTGACATCAACCTGAGTTCACTATCTTTTCTAGCACCTCACATTAGATAAATGGTGCTTTACAAGTGTTTATTATTATTATTAATACAAACTTGTGCACATGTTTACATAGTTTTGTTTGCATACAAGCGATTTCTACTGGAATGTTGGTCTTCACTTAGGCACCAGTTGCTCCCATGAGATGGTTTTCACCACCCCCTGTCATCTTTGCCATTGAGGGGGTACCGGTGCAGTCACATGTAATCAACTGTCTCTCCAGTTTTGTGTGTCAAAGTGCTGTGTGTGTGAGTTTGTTTCTGCATTCAGTTGGGGACCCTGAACNGTGTGTGTGTGTTAAAGTGTGAGCCATAAGGTGCTTGCTGTGGTGGAGATGTGTCGACAAGTGTGGACAAGACACATAAGTAGTGCAGGTCAACCAAATTTGGTTTGTGAACAGAAAAGCCCACCCTTTCGGCATCATTCCAAGCTGTTATAACCCCCACTGAAACCGAGCCCCGAGTCCAATTATTGAGTGATGTGTAGCTCCCATGAATGATTTATCACTCAATTCCAAATGGACTTCCATGCCTATGCACACCTGATATGACAAAGTCAGTAGTTGAGGCTATCTTGTCCATGAAACATTTCAAACCACCAAAGAAAATTCAGGGTTTTGCCACTTCAGGGCTTTAAATTCATTAAAGTACTAAGAGTCAAGTCAATCTGACATTTGATACGGACGTAAGGTACTTTGTCATCAAGACAATCCACCTCTAATACCTCAGTTCACTATGTGTCTATTTCTTTAGCCTCAGTGTTTGTTATATTGATGACCTGCCAATGTCTACCTTTATCTCTGAAGCAGGTGTTCCCCTGAAGGTGTTTTAATGTAAATTGACATCGGGGCGTGATGAAGGGGAAAAAAATCTATTTTATGGACAGGTTGAAGTGCCTTTGGTCAGCAGTTTGGTCGTCTTTTCGTCCTGATTTACTCATGTGTTATAATTTCACTAGCTTGGGCCCTCCAAGTGCAAAGAATGTGCTATTGGTTAACCGCTGATTTTACTGGATTCATTGAGCTTCCCAGCAAAGTTATATGCCTAGGGATAGTTAGTCGTTGAGGACCTGGGCTGCAACTGAATGAAGTGGCTATGGCTGGGGCTTGAAATCACTGGGGCACCTGTGGAAAGCCACTGGCTAGCTCCCCATAGGTATACAGACATATACATGTACATGGTGTACATGTGTTTGTCCAAACTGCAGCTTGCTGATTTGGACCCAATGTAAATCCTCATGTGTATGAACTCTTTTTGTCTATGCGTGATTGAACAATGAGGTCAACTACAGTTGGATTGGAACCTACATGTACGTACATGATTGTCCTCTGAAACACCGTTAATTGCTTGTTTCCAGTTCAGTCTCTTATCTAGCCAACTGTCCTCTTGTCCAGAGGACAGGCAAAAAGAACCTTTTCCAGACGGATAAGTCCTTGAAAAGGTCCCCTTTTTTCCACAATGTCATGTTTTCTTTGTTTAAACAATCATCATAAAGACTAGTGGTTTAATTATACAAAATCTTGTGGTTATTCTCCATCCAAATTTCCGTTAGGAGAATGAAAAACACTAGAATCCATGAATGTCTTCAAGGGTAAAACCTGGGTTGTTTTGGGGACATAGTAGCATTTATCAAATCGTCTGCAGGCTTGCCCAGACAGTGTTTGCGTATAGAAATGTACAGCCTCCCTCTTAATATAAATACTTAACATGATGAATGAATCTTTAACAACTGTATGTTTTCCAAAAACATATGGGGAGCAGTGGAAGCTCAGCGTCATATCACCAGGAGATGTCACTAAAAGGGCTTGGAACTGACAGGCAGCTTTTTTCCTCTTTTTAACAGGAACGGATAAACGGATATTTAATCATGGATGAAACCCTTGTTGAAACCCTTGTTGAAATTAGAAGGTTTCCCCTTCTGGAGAGTTTTCAATTTGTTTGCGGTTGTAGAAAGTTTGTACAGACCTTGTTTAGCAGAATTTTTTGTTTACCACAGAAGCACTGAGACACTACGGTACACTGTATCATTCCTGCCATCTCAGCTATGCAAGCAAATAGCATCTGTACCGCCAGGCCAGGCCAGCTATTTGAGATCTAAATATAAGAGTTGCCACACTGAAACAGAGCTGAGAGTGTCACCAAATTGATCAGTTGAAATGCAGGCGTGTTAAGGGGCCATCTGCGAGTCCCCAGCTGTTTTCTTTGTGCATATTTCTGTCCAAGCGTGGCCGCGTTAAATTGATCAAGTCTTGCCAAGCTGCTGGTATTCCATCCCAAATACATTGTCTGGACGGGCATGTACATTGTGAACCGTGATTAGCAATAACTCATGGATGTGCGTGAAAATATGGCGTATCTTAAAAAATATACGTATGTTTTTGTGAACACATTGATGATTTATTACTTTGTTGCCGGAGCAGTTTGGGTCTGGGCTCACGATGTAAACTGCACACTGATTATAATCACCAACTTTTGTGTCCTAACTCATCTAGCAATAAATGATTTAGCATCTGTGTAAGGGTCGTTACCCAAGTCCTGTAATAGATTTTCCATACACTGCGTCATTGGGACTAAATATTTATACAATATTTTCAGATGAAAGAGTATCCTACTCTTATTACCTCACTAAAATAGCACCTTTAGTACAAATAAGATATGGACACTGGATTTACACATTTCCACTTTTGGCAAATCTCAACTGTATGCCATGGGTTGACCTTTACCTACAGACATGCTGCTATGTGTCTTTTGATCTTTCACGCATGCATAGATCTACATGTGCATGTAATATTGATGAATACGTGTAACAGCAAATACACTTAATGGTTTTCTAAATACCGGTAAGCAGTAGGAACAGCCATGTAAAGAGCAGATTAGATCTAACATGGTAAACTTGTAAACAGCGTAATCCCCGCCCTCTCTCAGAGCCTGTGCTGTTGTCGGGCTGTGATAAGCAGCTCCGTTGAATAATTGGGTTAAATTGAAGATTGATCATTTTCAGAAGCTCGCCCATCATGGCTTATGCAACTGATCAATGCGGTTAGGCAGACTCCTTTCTTTGTTCCTGTTGTCGAAATGCACTCATTAAAAGGTAAAAGCCACTAGAGATCAAAGGCCATGAAACAGAGGAACCAGAGAGAGAGACAAACAAACAAAGAGAAAGGTTACAAGTTCTGATGAATGGAGATGAGGTTTCTCTCACAGGAAAGTGGATGATAAGGTTTCCACAGCGATGCCACATCTCAGCAAGAAGCCTGCTCGGCTGTTTGTTACATCAGTATAGGTTTATATTTACATGTAGATACAGCTCATGTATGGGCAGTTTCCTGAGTAACCAATTCGAACTCCCAAGTTTATTTATTTCGCGCTCTCCATAGAACCATAACAAGACATGCAGGTACCGGTATGAAAGGATGATATCGGCCTTGATGTGAATGATGCTTTAAATAAAACGAAACTAGAAAAATCAGTTGAAAGCATGTTGAAAGCTGTTCCAACATCCAAGTACCGCTGATCTGCAGTCACAGTTGGCTGGTGTAAAGAGACCATACGTACAAGTGAATATAGTGTACGAACATTCAGAGGCGCATGTACGCATTTGATGTGGCATCTTAAAATGTTACACTGAAAGACATAGTAAACACCAGCTTCCAAGGCCTCATGCTGGCCTGTGGAAGTGTTGAAAGGGTCGTTTGTAACTGGGGCATGTGATAATTTGTCTGGTTTGATTTAGTGAAAGAGACATTCTCGCCAGAATTAACCCGATGGGGACTTGTGGGAATTACCAGCAGGAGGCATGCTTGGGTATTAAAAAACCAGGGGAAATCTCACGTCTGGGGCACTAGGACATTCCAGGGAGGGCGGCAAGACTTGCTGTTTATCAGTGCGGCACATATGTCACTTCATGGTGTCTCTCCGCCAACTTTTGCTGGGAGGGGAGGGTAGTTTTTTCCTCGTAATGTCTCAGTTGAGATATTTCAGAACGTGCCACTTCTCAAAATATGCCAGGGGGGTTCCTGTTTATTGCTAGCAAATCATGGCCCCAGGAATGGCATAACTTCAGACAGAATTCTTCAGGAATAAGGAGCCACAGAATGTTGGGAGCACAATTGTACAACGGATTAACTTTACAGTCATGACAGTTGAAAGTGGAAACACTAGCAGCAGGCATTAAACTTCTTCACCAGAACCACTGACTTCCTCATGTTTTGAAGTCTTGTGTAACTTGCCATTTCTTCTCTTTTCCTGAATTTCCAACTGCATGCCTACAGCAGGATTACAGTCCCTTAACAGGGTGCTTCAGTGGGATCTCATCGGAACTAAGAGTCTTAAAGTTTTTGCTGTAGGCAAGCACAGAACTGAACCCAACTTACATGAACAAAGGCAAATGAAGGAAAAGAAGGAAAATTCGTACATAATCACCCATAGTGGAGGGACACTTGCTGTGTTTTTGGATTGATGTTAGTAACATAAATGCATGCCATCAGACTGTATTTAAAAAACATTACTCAAAGTGGCACAGCAGCTCAAACCTATCACTTATATCTTCCTTCAAAAATATCTGAGAGTGGTTGAGTTACGGTGTTTTATTGCAAGTCTCCAAATCAAGAGCCCAATTTGAAATAAAACTACCCTGCCCATGTTCCAGACCAGTGGGCTGTTAGCTAACAATCCTGGACACAAAAAGGCGATGTTGGAAAGTGAATAGCCATTTTCAAATGGGTAGTTCCTTAGCCACATCCCTTTCTGTCCTAGTAACATGGTAAATCTATAATTATGTTTTATACAGCAGCCAGGCCCAGAAATTCCATCATTATTGGGGACTTTAATACCTACGCTGACTATCCATGGCCTCTGGGGGGCCTCCTTCACGGGTACTTTTCTACCAGCAACAAATGCCCAAAATACGCTGCGCAAAAGAATCCCACCCTGGAGGCGGATCTTGTCTCGTACACGGACGCGTGGGCGGAGGTAAACCCAAACAAGAATGGGTACACCTTCAGTAATATGGTGAGTTCTTCTGTTAAGTGGAAGTTGTCTAATGCTTGTACATGTACGCCAACTGTATGTATCACAAATGTCAAAATACTAAAACTGTTTGAGAAGTCTGTTAAATTACATGTCACAGATGTGTTTTGTATGGTCACATAATCTTCTTCCCATCATTTTGTCCATGTTAAGTGACTAATAATCGTTTTCCTTGGCAAATTTCAACAGCCACAGCCCGGCTTCCAGAGTCGGCCGGATCGAATCCTCTTCTCCAAGTCCTGGCGAGTACACTCCTGCTGGCTGGTCGGCCGTGGCGAGGAGTACGCCTCCTCGTACACTTTACACATCACCTGGACCCGGTTGCTCGCTCTCTTGGCGGCCGCTGAGGATGCCTTCTACTCTGCCTCCAGATCCCGGAGCTGCCTGCATGACTGCGGGCCCCACGGTTCCTGCAGATGCGGCGTGTGCGTTGCGGGCGGTGACAAGAACCGCTGTGAGACCCCAAACTGCCCGGAGTGTTCAGCTGATGTCTACCGTAACTACCTGATAGTCAAAGCACTGTTTTTGTGCATAGCTGGACAATTCTTAGTCTCTCTCGTGCTTTTTGTGTTACAGTGGAGAACCAGGTGGAAACACGTACTTGTACGTGCACCCTCCTCCAGGTGTTCGTCGGTCAGGTCTTGGTGCTCGTTAAGTGACCGACAGTCAGCATCACCCAAAGTACCACATTCTAGACTCAGCATCCTGCGCTTGTTGAGATTTGTCTGGCCTGTGTTGTCCTTGCGACCCGTCTACCAGCTTTTCGTCTGCTGCTTGTGCTGTGTGCTCCTGTTTATTCTGTGCCTCCATTTATTTGAGGAGTCCCTGCGTGTTGTTTACGCTATCTTGCCTGAGGAGCTGAACCCATCTGACCATCTGATGGTGGTGGCTACAGCCGTTGCCTCATAGAAGCAATTAAAGTACGTTTGACACCATGTAGCTGCTAAGCTGCAGAATCTGCCAAGCAGGTAGTTGCTTAGCCAAAGCCTACTATCAGCTGAAAGTCCTTCCTAACTCCTTTTGTTGCCGATCAGTGCTTTCTGTTAGCAGTTTTTGTTCTTGCTAGCCTGTTTGGGGAGCCATACTGGTGTAGTGGTACATCTTCCTTGTCAATCACCTCTGCAGCCCGAGTTCAAATCCTGCTGAAGCCAACATATGGATTGGTTTTTAGTCCCTGAATCCCAAGTGTTTTACCCAGAATGTTTTTCTGGATTTTTTTTCTGGCACCTCTGAAAATGTAACTGCTTGTCACTGCCTCATCTCTAGCTCTAATAATACTGATATTAGAGCATTTATGAGGTACACAGTACTGTCAATCAAGGGGGTTAATATACATGTTTTATTATGGCTGCTATAACATTCCTTAGACCGTCTCAGCTTCGTTGGAAATATTCTAGCCCTCGTGAGTACCCATTAATTCCTGGCTGAGGGGAGGCACGTAGGGGTCACAACATGCAACCATCTGCTAGAATTCAAACCGATGACCGTCTAATCGGAAGCTGAAAACCCTAACCACTTGGCCACATGTTCCCATCTCTCCAAGTTTCTTCAGGCTTTCGAGCTAAAGTGCCTAAGGCACTTTGGGGAATCTTTGGTTTCTTTATACCAAAAATACTTAATTACAATTGTTAAAATGAGAACTGGTAGTGCCCCACTTTTTGTGCAATATTAAAGTCATCTGTTTATTCCTGAATTATACATAATTATGATGTATATTTGTGCAATTTGCATATCAAGGTATTTAAGTCTTTCGTTTAACAACTCATTATCACCGCATTATTATTGCCCAACTGTGGAGAAAATCGTGAAATTCTTTTGCCACGTTTGGAATGACATTATTTGTGTGAAGGTTTGCCATGAATATTTTTTCCATTGATTTTTGAATTTTTAGTGAAGTTGCCACCAAAGGTTAAACTGTTTCGAATCTTGAACTTTCTCTGCCTCTCAAATTTGCGGTCTAATTCAAACTTGCCAAGAAATTATTTGCATTGTGACGAGTTATATTGAAAGAAGCATTATTGTATGAAGTATGCCAGTCTCAAACCTATGGTGTCTCAATTGTGACATGAGGTTGCCAAAATTCTTGTGCCGCTGTGTAATACTAAGACATGTCCGTCAGTGTTCATCTGACTGAGGAAAATTGAAATAGAAAATTGAAATGTTAATAGACACTCAAGTTCAACCTTTTTGACCATTTTATGTTTTATTTCATGCAGTATTTATTGATTTATACCCATAATTTTCATGTCCTTGTAAAACGCTATAAAAAGTTATGTAGTTGCGTATTTCTTTTCCTCCATGACATTTCCAGCTGAGGTGTCTTTTTTCATTTTGCATCCATTTTATTACATACGATGACATGATTATTTTCATCACTTTATATCAGTGTATTTCATGTGTAATTGATAGGTCTTCATTACACAGAGGATGACGTAGCGCATCATCTAAACGTGGCGTATTTTACGGCTTTGTTTCAGTCAAACTTGTACCAAAAATTCTCCTTTTGTGCAGGATATCTGACGAGGAAAATCTTTAAAAGGATTTATTTGGTAATAGGGATTTTTTTATGGGTAAATTTAAGCCAACTTTGACATACTTCTTGGTTTTCAAGCGTTTTCATCACTTTCAGTCAATTCCAATTCCTTACTTATAAGAACAGGTCAAGCTGTAAGTAATCATCGTAATCATCATCTAATCTCAGAAAATCAGCTCTACGTCCTTGCTTGCATATACCCCTCTCCAAAGCTAGCTGGAACTTAAAAGGCAAAGAATGGTCGAAGCCCAGTCATAGTTTTTACGAAGCTGTTATTGGCATGGGTTTTGGTGCCACAATGGAATAATATTTACAAAATATTCAATTTCACACGTCTTTTAAGTACTAAAAATAAATACTGTACAGCCCAATACTAAACGAAAATACACGTACCTCCCTTTTTTAGACTAGGGATGCTTTCAACCGTGAGCGATTTCTTCAAACTGATCACATCATATTTCCGTTAGGCCCTTAATGCCGGGCAGTGTTTGGAAGCACAAGTAATGTGGTGAATTCGTATTTTACTCTGTTCATCCCGCTATACTGCAAATGAACTTCCTTTTCGTCACCTCAGGGAAGGATAAACCGGGAAAAGTGGTTCGGTTGAAATACCTTTGTGTGTGTGTGGGGGGGGGGTGTTAATGGAAGCAGTGTTCGCTGAGAGAATCGTTACTTTGGAACCGTCATGAAAAGCCATTTCGTACGGTCTCAAAGCTGCAGTGCAGTGGCATATCAACGGTACGGTGTGCACTCGGGGCAAGTACTCCCAATGGTTGTCTCCCGTGCGTGCATCCCTTCAAATTCTGAAATGAATAAACTATACATAAACCCAAAGATGAAATGTCTGCAGTGCCCTTTAAAAATGACGTTTGCACCTCACGTGTTCCGCAAGAAGTGTCTACCTGCTTTGATACGCTACTGCCAATATGCGCAAGCGTCTAGCGGGACTGTATTTAAATTCTCGATGTGTTCATAGAGTCCGTTTACTTTTTTTTTTTTCTCAACCGCGAATTTCTATTGTAAAAAGAAAGCACATTTTGATCCGTTTGTTGAGTTCTGAAGTCTGGATGTAGAGTCTACACAGTGAGTCAAATTCTGATTCATCCACTCAACTCATATAACAGTTTTGTTTTTTCTCGAGAAGTTTCGATTTTTGAACTGCAGTTACAGCTTTCGATTATGAGCCAATAAACCAAAGGCAACTTGAACTGGAACGAAAACTGACCTTTTGGTGGCCAGATCACAAGTGTAGTGAAATTTCAACAGCATGCGTAACTTTATTTTTGTCCCATTGAGTCTTACAAGAATGAACATTGGACATTTGGCCGTCAAATCTCAGTCTGCCCTATCGTAGCAAGTCCCCCGCCTGGTCAAAATGGACTGGCTAAGTTTCTGAACAGACTTAACGATGCTTTCAACATGGATAGTTTGAACAAAACGAAACATCGATTCCTAGCTTCACACCCGGCCTCGTCTCCGTGTACCACCCGTGTCCCACTCTTAAACTTTAAGAGGATATCTTGTTCTGGTAAAACATTTAAAATGATTCATGGGCAAACGACCTTCATTTCCCAAATCGCACTCGCTCCAACGACCACCAATGACGTCATTCGCCGGCCCGCGTCACGTCAATTCTCCTGTGAGTTTTCTTAGTTTTTTTTACGACCGGTACTTTATCACGATACGTCCGTCGAGATGATAGACTCAACACGCAAAGATCGATTGCGGGTCGTCAATGGAAAGGGAGGAAGATAATAAAAAACAAAGTAAACGACTTGATAAAAGTCGTTAAACTATCCCCTAGTGAAAGACTCGTGTTCCGGTTATTTTACTTGCATTAAATGGAACGTCCGAATGAACGATGCGGTTTTTTTTTCTTCCTCTTTTCATTCGAGTGAAACTTCGACACAACGCGGATGCGTCTTACGTCAGTAGCTCATCACTGCACGGCCACGCGGCAATTGGCGCAAGAAGAAATTAAAGGTCGCGTGAACCTGTTTTTATAGCTGATGAACCAAAAAGCAATTCAAGTGCAATATGGCTGGCTCATCACTTCACCATCTCACGCAGCTACTGGCGCGGTTAAGACATTTGGCGAAGTATGGAGCGAGGCCGCTGCACAAGAAAATACGTGTGTCAGCTCATTTGAAGTATAGGTCAACTCTATACCCTTTAAGGTTACTCATATCACATTGGACCAGTTTGCATGATTTGACACGTGAATGCGATATAGAGTACCAACAAAACCGCGTGATAGATGAAGTGTTTATCTAACACTTAGCACTTACGCAGTGTCAAAACGACACAAGTCTCGTGAGAAATACGGAGACATAGCACACTGATGTAACAGTGTGGATGATAGTCCGAGTGATCACGTCGGAGGTATTGGAGAGGCTCCATTTTTATCTTTTTTCCTATCCTTTCTTCTGTCTTTTGGGGTTCGGATGTGAGTCTAGTCACGCCAGCAGCCACCGAAGTGCGCAACACGCTACCCTGGAGTTACCAGGCCACCCTACATTATTACCCGGGGACAAGTTAAGCGGAGCGTTGACGATGGATAATCAATGCCTATCCCGGGTCGATGCCCCCGAGTGCCGAGCCCCGCTGATGAGCCACCAAGCTAGCTGCAGGCGGCCAGCGGGGATATGAGGACGATTCACCCGCTGCATCCGGGGAGCGGACACGCTATCAGCTGCACCACTTCGCAGCACCCGGACACTGTTGTTTTCCTATCAGATTTCTTGAGAATAGTATTTGAAAGGCTAAGAGATTTGTGATTAAGTTTCTGTGTGCCTCTTTTTACCTCTAGGGCTATAAATACGAACGAGTTACAGGCTCGTATGGAGGTTTTGCGTGGTAGCCATCTTGCAGGACAGTTCGTTTGTTTCACACGGAAACCTCCAAATGTGTGCATACTCCGTTAAACAAAAGCACTGGCCTTCAAAATAATGATAGCCATGCAAACCTTTTACCGTGTCAATGCCTTTTGCCCTTTTTGAATATTTTCAGTGTTGGATAGATTTTCGTCCAGATAACGAGCAGTAAGGAATAATATTTCCAGGCCGTGCCTAAGAAGTTCCACTCCTTGGGAAAATAATTATGTCGTGTGTTAGAGTTACATGCCCTTGAATCATGCGGGAGGGCCGGTTAGCAATAGCATTTGGTGACCTGCATAGCAATGGTACATCCCAGTGACCTGTAGACGACCTCCTTCCCGTTCAAAGTGCTCTTTTAACAGAATGCAAATATTCCTACGAAAAAAAATGGGGCAATTTACCGTCACATCCGTTCGATCTGGATACGAGAGGCTCGCTACACACCGTACATCCGGGCGTGTACATTATCCCACCACATCCGCAGTGTGTTCAGCCATCCGGCAGGCCCGGCGAATTTTCGGTCACTCGGGTTAGACTCGGTTTGCGCCGTTCCAGGAACTCATGCATAGTGGACCCTCCACTTACGCTTTCTGCCCTTCTCCTGGTCTTTATTCAAGCAGCAACGATCGAATCGCGGTTTAAGGCATGGTGAATTTTGGATAATGATCTGGGTTGGATTCAGAGTGCACGTTGGGATGCCCTTCTGTAGAGAACAGTTTGTATGTCGAGCTTAAAAAAGTGCGAACTTTTTGAAACCAAAATGTTGTCCGCTGTGAAAGTGTCAAGGCAATGAGAAGTGTGTTTATATGGGGCGGGGACCGGTAGATTTTAGAAAACTGTTGACGTCATTTTCAAGGTTTTTTCTTAATTTAGAGTAAGTCCTGTTTTCGGGTTTTACAAAATACGCCAACACGAAAAATTTATTGAAGATGAGCAGCGCCGGTGACGCGCTTAAGATAAGATACCCAGGCCTCATACCCTCTATATCAACTCTCCTCCAGAATAATTCCAGTCACTGAGACACCCCCAGAGGGAGATTGGTATAGAGTTCCTTCACTTCTCCCTAAAAATCTTATTAAACAGGCATTCCACGTATTCTCGCCTGTCCGAGGCAGAGAGGTGAATCTGGCGGTAGGGGGAGTTGATAGCGCCTGCGGGCCCACTGCGGATGAATACTTCACGAGGGTTGTGCCGTGAGCTACATTCAGGTCGGACGCAAGGAGATACAAGGCTTCCTGATTTTTGCTTCTCTACCCCGTCAACGGATGTTTCATGTTTTATTTCAACATACATTTTTAAGGGATTACTGGGGGCTTGTGACTCCGATACATGCATCGACTATGTCTATCTTTGTATCTTCAGTCCTGCACAGCGCAAAAATGAATGGATGACTCGGCGCTTGGTTATTATTTCTAACGCCAACAGCTATGTTTTTTCCACCGCTGCATTAGAACAATACATGCATTAAGGGGCCTGTCGATGGAAGAGATGCCAATTTGTGGAGGCTTCGTCAAGCATAGGAATAGATGGTGTACGGTATTCGGTGCCGTCTGCAGGGCCCAACACATTTTCTGCTATCTATCCCCTTCGTGATCAAGTACCCCCTCTCATTGATAAGAACAAGTAGAAAGCCTTGACACCTGCGCCCCACGAACACGCTACAAGTTCACGACATCGTGGTTCCTCCTCGAAGACGGAAAACATTGTAATCAACTTTTGATTTGCGGTGGCCCCTGCCAATGGCGGTAACCATTACTGTATTATATTGCATGGAGCCACTGTCCCGCCGTACAAATTCGCAATGTTTTCTGCCGTTAAAAGGGGCCATCCGGAATATCCAGTGACACGTTACACGGAATTCGTCTACAGCCGCATAAAATCAAAGTTTTATTAGCAAATGTATTATAATAATTGGTTTACCGAAATATCGCTTGTATAAAATTAGGAAGCCAGCGCCCACGCATGTCATAT